AAATAAATTTTAAATAAGAGAAGCCATTTCAATGCCGGTTCAACCTCTCTAATGCAGTTTTCCTATGACTATGAAAAGCTTGGTGCCATATGCATGCCGTGCCGTGACCCTGATKTTTTCTAGAATTTCAATYRGCTGATTTTCTTTTGCACMATTTGATTGGTCTGACATTGCCRWGACTTTGKTGTAACAGTGTCTGTGGCATGATTTTGCCATGTTTTGGGCATTTGATTGGAGTATATTTTCGCTTACTCAAACCTCATTTCAGCCTAAACATTACTGGTCAAAATAACCGTGAGTCAACAATTTGACCAGACAAGTCCCAGTTCTGRCCAGACATTGTCTGATGTCAAGCCGTTATTTTAAGCCCTATCATTTGACTATTAGGCACTTATATATATATACATACAGTAAAATATATTGCACTCAAAAATCTTATATATTTTTTAAGAATGTATGAGAAGCAGCCATTTATAAAGCTGYTGTAGCTGTTGTATAATAAGCATTTTTACAGCACTATTTTCATTTTAGTTCTATATCTAATATGCATTGAATTGTGCTTATATGTCAGATGTTAAGCTCATTTTCTCTGTCATGGAATAACCATTTGTAGACAGTATTTTCTATAGTTTATAGTTAAAGAGATTTAAATGTTAATTAATTCATGTCATTAATTAACGAATTTTACCAGATATATACAGAGATCTGTATTCAAAGATCTGTACATTATCTCATACATCTATCAGATCTTAAATCAAACAGCATATGATTGAATATGAGAACCAGCTGTTTTAGAACATAAATTTAACTTATTTTATCTTACTACGAAGACAGATTGAATTCTTCTTATGAAAGCGAAGATTTTGAAGGAAAACAKTTAGATCTTTAACTGGAATATAAGGTTTCTATTTCAAATATATAAAATAACTGTTAAATAAAAAACATATATAGATACAACAAAGCTATAAAACTGAACCTTGTTTTGRGAATTCTGTATTTTTCGTGTTTTTCTTGCTATTGAGGAGAGTCGATCATCAATAAGTGATAAGATAAAAAATATATTGTRGACGCCATTCGATCGAGCCAAGTCTAGCAGGAACAGTCGTAAATCATGCATTAAACATGACAAACTGTCATTCCGCCAAGAAAAAATAAAATATTCTCAAAATACAATAAGATTAAGAAGAAGACAATTGAGATTGACTCCCGGACAGATCGTAAGGATTATTTTTACACCTCGTGAGTTTTGATRCAGAAAATTAAAAATACAGCTGATCTTAAACTTAATTGTAGATCATCAATCATAWATAGTCTAGTTTAAAATCCCAAATAATATTAAGGAGAATATAAGTTGTTTTCTTTAAGGGATTGATCACTGATTTTTTAATAAAAATAAGAAGAAAATTCGAAAGYCTCGTATAGAATGAATAAAAGATATGATTGTATAAGCTTATGCAACCTTAAACATTCCCCTAGGAATTACTACTTTGTTCAGTGAAGCTAATCAAAGAGGAATACTTAAAGTGAACTTGTTTTTACAGGAAAAATAGCAAAATAATCTTGAATATTTTCACTTACAATTTGTTTTCTTTGGAGAAGAAGCCATTTTCCTTCAAGGTCAAGCAAACCCACCAGAAGTAAAAAATCATTTCACCTCGAATGTGCCATTTTTCTGGACAAATGGAAGTACTACAAGTTGTGATAAGCTTTGAAGAGGCTATCTGAGGTTGTTTTTYATCATGTTTTTGGATTTTTATAGTCGAAAAATATTTTTTTTGCAACCATYTTTTTTGGTTTGTTTTGAGATATCGATGGTCGGTGATCTGTATGGCCCAGCATGCACCGCGGCACATGAGGACGAGGCTTCTTAATGAATGAGGAAGAAAGAAAGAAAG